AGTTTTGAGATGTATAGTCCATAATTTGCAATTTTAGTTATATAACTATAGTGATATAAAAATGTAAATCTTATTATTGGATAATTCTTCTTATTGGATAACTGATAATACATGAAAATAAAACCCTAATTTGTTTTATTAGTATTTATCCAGAAGTTGTGCTTTCTCTTAATTTTCTTAATAGTGGGAAGCAATTGTCTGGAGGGCAGTTGTCATCTGGGGGCAATTGTCCCAGGGACAGTTCTGATACCATCATTATTAAATTTATATTATTATTATTATGAATCATTATTACATATTATTATTACTTATTATTAAGTTAATATTATTATTAGTCATTATTAAATTAAGTATTATTAAGTTATTATTATAGTTGCATTCCTTAGTTTCCACAGTTCAGACCTTCATAGCTAAGTTCCGCTGTACCAAGTATGTGGCACCAACTCATCCTCATGCCTATTGTATTCTTTTCATCAGAAGAAAGTTTCCTTTAGACAGTTTCTTCATAAGAACTTTAATTTTGTGAAACAGACTCCCAAGATAATGCTTTCCTAATCACAACAAACTTATCTTCTTTAAGTCGAGAATCAACATTATCTATCCTATATATTTCCATAATATGCACTTCTTACCTCCTCCTTTTAGGTCATAGAATAACCTCATTCAATAACACTCTACATTAAGTGGCTCTTCAGCCTTGTATTGGGTGAAAAATAGTATAGAAAAATAAAAAGCATATTCTAGCACTAAAGTAAACTTGATACATTTACAAAGTGAAAAACATTTTCAGTGGCTAGCAAGATGAGAAAGCTAATTATTATACCATATCCATGAAGAATATCATTAAATTAATCTGATTCAAAAGATTACTTGTCAAATTTATGTTTACTAAATTATTCTTCAATGTGAAATGTAAAAATAATAATTGTGTGTGAAAACAACTACAGACAGAAGCCAACCCTCCCTAATGGTGACTCATTGTCCATTGGATTAACACAGATTAGATTGATTGATTCAAAAGAAAGTTTAATATGAAGAATAATATTTAAACTTTTGAATTTTTCCTCAGGTTTAATTAGCATAGCATAATTCTATTCAGCTGGTCATTTCAAAATATCTTGTCTAGATTTATTTTTTGATATGAGCAACAAGGTAGCTTTAATGGAAAATGAGAAACAAAACAACATAAGTAGTATTTGAAATCATAAGTTTGTTTCACAGTCAGTTATGTGCCATGTGTGATACATGCTTAGGTGATCATGTATCTTTTGATACATGACTGATGAGGCAGATTTTTTCTCACAGTAGGTTGCCATTTCTTCCTGTGGTAGACCAGTTGCCATCCAAGGCTATAGAACCCAGTCTGTCCTGCTATTTACCCATAGCTGGGTGGAGAGGAGAAGAAGAGGATTCATACCTTCCCCGAGTGTATTAGCATGTAAGTGAATATAATGGATTTGAGTGGAATTTGAATTCTGCTCTTCAATTCCTCAATCTAAGCTGCTATCCATCACTCCACCATGCCTCCCTGTCTGTTTCACACTTAACTGAAAATGTGTTGTAACATGACCTTTCAAAATATGTATAAATTTCAGTATGTTTCACATTTAAACTGAAATTTAAACATATTCTGAAAGGTCATGTTTCAACACACTTTCTATATGATTTGAGTGTGGATTGTGAATTTTAAATGTTTGTACAGTAAAAGTGAAAATGGAAGAAAATGAAATACAATTTCATAATTTGATCTTTTATTTGCAGAAAGAAAAAAATACTATACAAACAGCAAAAAAGATCTGTGCCATTTATGAAGATGGTGCCATAGCTGAGATTACAGTCCATAATGGGTTCACTAGTTTCAAAAAGACCAAAAATATTCCATCAATACACTGCAGATGACCAAATTGAAATGCTGATGAAAAAATAATCCCTGTCATATGGCATGAGACATTGTACTCTACATAACTCATGACAGCTGTAAGTCATTTGAAAACACTTGGATATGTGAATCACAATACTGTGTGTGTGGGGGGGTCTCCTTATTTATCATATATACTCAAGTATATACAGGTACAATTTTTGAAAATGTTAAAAATCATGGCAATGACTGGTTGCTCAATAGATAGGAATTTTTTTTTCTGGATGGTTTAAAATTCATACAAAAATAATCAGGGGTTACACTATACATGAAGTCAGCTTATACATGAGTATATACAGCAATTGAAAAATATTTAATAAATGACATTTAATTGGAAATGGGAACTATTTACAATCAAAACATAAGTGCCAAAATTTCTAGGACATCGTAAAGAGGAAAGAGGGCTTGGAAAATTTAACATTTACCAAATTTAATAAAGGTAAGAAGATGGAGAGAAACATCATGTGACCTATACAAATTTGTGTGATTGGATGACAGAGCAAGTACAAAGAAGGATAGTAAAGAGCCAAACATTGCTGATTACAAGAAGGAACAGGAAATTGTAGAGAGCCATGATTACCCATGACTTGAACAGGGCACATAAAAGAATATTGTAATTGCATTTAATCATTCTTAGGTTAGGATGGTTAATTTAATAGCAGATAAACCATTGTTGGGTCATTTAATGTTGAAATGCTTTATCATTATGTTTAAGTCAAAAGGTAAAACATGTCCAGGGTTATGTTTCAGTCAAAAAGTAAACATCGGTTCAGTTTATGCTTGAGTCAAAAAGTAAACATTTGTTTGGGTTTATGTCTGATTTAAAAGTTTATATTTGAGTCAAAAAGTAAATATTAATCAGGTTTATATTTGTGTCAAAAAGTAAACATTGGTAAATTTATGCTTCTGTCAAAATGAAAATATTAGCTTTGGTTTATGAGTGAGGCAGCAAGCATCCATCCGGATGATGGCCTTCTTTAAGAAGGGTGCATCCTGCCCTTCTGAAGAGGATACAGTCGGCATATCTGACAGGCCAAAAGGAGTTTAAGGAAAAATTTACTGAACCAAATAATTCTGCTTCCTTTTAACATTTCAGAGTTATAAGAAAGCAAATAAATTGAAAACCTATTTTCAAGGCAGATCATATTTTATGCTACTAACACAATACATGTTATTGTTTATATTATATTTATAAATATTTATATATATTTTTTAAATAACTTACTTTTCATTGTTTGTTGAGAGTGGAAATAAAATCATATATTTAATGTGTAATTTCACAGATTTAGCCTCAGAGTGTTTTTCTCATAAGCATTAGACAAATACACAAATTAACACATATATATAAATATAACAAGGCTGATATTTTGATTGAAATGTTTTTTTTTAATATCTTTTTCCTTAATCTAATGTTATTTTTTTTTTTTTGAAATCTAGTTCAAGCCATATTGTCAAATACTTTTAACAAGCAATGACACCTTCTTTTGTGCTCTGGCAGGCAATGACTGAATTTACATGTTTTTATATAAGTATGATTATCACCAAGTGAAATTGTAAAAATATTGATAAAAGTAAAAAGTATTATAAAAATATAGTATTAGTGTTTCATTATACATGAAGCAAATATCTACAAATTAGAGTTTATTGCAAAAGATTAAGCAAAGCAAATTCATTTTGTAAATAAAAATATGTTACTCTCAGTTCTGTAATAATCGTACCTCCCTGCTTATTAATTTTCGTGGAAACTTCCTTGAAAACATTTCATTTCTAAGAAAATGATCATTTAGAATTGCAAAACCAATTTGATACAGATTCTAAAACTTCATTCAAATTCTAATACATACAATTGTAAAAATCATTCACATTATGAGAAATCAAAATAATAATTTAGTCATGTAATGTGCCATCTTACCTTGTATGAAGTAAACAAGGACGTTATATTCCTCAACAGAAGGCAACAAGTGCTTGACGAGTATGAAACTTTGACATTATTCATTACTTTACAGAAACAGTTCATACTGTACGCAATAACATACAACTAATCAGGTAGAAATCAAATAAAAAATGAAGGATATTAGAAACACACTATTTACATTATTCAGACTATTGTCCTCATCTTTGTTGCCATATTTATAACGTTTCGTCCGTTGTATGCTCTGGCCTTCTTCTGGTGGTTGGAATGTCAAAATGAATTCTTTATTTCACTCACTGGGGTAGACTATTCTAGTTCCATGTGTCATGTCTAATAGATGTCAGTTATCAGTTAATTCACCTCTCCAGTTTCTCTACTGCCTTAACCAGATATTGAACTCACAACTCTTTGGATCCTGTCACTGGATCTAAGCAATGCCTTTATCCACTGTGCCATGTGTCCTTAATGACATCTGTGTATGAATTTCTGGGACTTATAAACTTAGACACACACCATGCCTTTTCTGTATATCTCAGTTTTTAGTCAATTCCCTGTAGTAACTCAATTCTCTAAGTTTTTTGTTCATCTCTGTTGTAGCCAGGTATTGAACTCATAACTCTTTGGGTCAAGTCACTTTTTTGGATTACCTCAACCAACACTTTTATCTTCTTGGACATGTGTGCTTGGGGACACAGCTGAGCTGAACAAAAAAAAACTTGGAGAGTTAAATTATTAAAGGGAAGTAACTGAAAACAGAGAAAAATAGCCAAAACATTATGAATATAATATGACAGTAAAGATGAGGACAATAGTCCAATTAATATAAATAATGTAAATAATTTCAATACCTCATCTCAAAAATATAGACAGACGTTTGATAAGGTTTACATTTATTTGCTTTTTCATTGATTGATAGTTTTTTATGGCTTATCAATCTTTTGCAGGTTATTTAAATCCAGAAAATATTTTTAGATTGTAAAATCTTTTTAGAGATAATAATGATTTACTGATACAATTCCTACTAACTGACCTACAGCTTGCAAGGAAGAGGTGAATCCATACCTTTCTCAAAGGTGCTAGTGAATATAACAAACCCAACTGGAATTGGAATCTGACTCTTTGATTAAAAATTCTGAGCTGTTATCTATTAAATCACCTACACATTCAATCTTACAGTACCTGGTCTTTCTAAGTGATCACCCATCTAGGTACTGACCAGGTTCAACATTACTTAACTTTGGGGATCATATGAGTACTGGTGTTTCAACATGATATTGCTGTAAGCCATATTTACTTGCAGTAAAAATTTCAGTACAAAATATTTTCAAATTCTCATTAACTAATTTGCTGCATGTTTACATCATATTCCATCATTCAAATAAACTACATTCTTGTCCTATCCCCTCCTCAGATTTTTTTCAATCCACCCCACTTATTCTAAACCTCCTTTTATTCAAAAACCAAGATTAATTTGAGAAACATATACAAGCATTAAATGCAGTGGTCACAGCACAGAAAGTAGAATTGATATGACAAGTTTAATTTGTAGCATTTACTTTCACACAATACCTTTGGAAAAGGTATGAATCCATACCTTCTGCCTCTAGCTATGGGTTAAATAACAGGACAGACCGAGATCTCTAACATTAGTTGGCAACAGAGCTTGATACTCCACCCCATAAAATACTACAAAGCCATAGAAGAAACACTTAGTTTGATGAGGGTGTATTGCTATTTTCCACAGGGAAGTAGCCCTAAGGGGAAAGACGTGGAATAGGAATATGTAAAACCTGATTTCCTAGTACAATAATGATTGTATTGAAAATACAATATTTTAAATGTTTTTATTCATTTATTTATAGGATTCTATAAATATCTGGATTTTGAGTAAGCACTGCCAATCCCTTATTCAAACTGTGGACTTCCATACTTGTTCCCCTAACAAAACCAACAAGGTCAAAATGGAAGCTGATGTCCAAAATGACCACAAGTCTGTTGTTAACTGGGGCAAAAGATAGCTTGTTAATTTTAATGCCTTCAAAACTAAACTTCTCTCCATTAATCATCTGAGGGACTCCTTGCTGCCTTTTATCTGAATGGCTGATGCTAACCTCCAGGAAAGTGATTCATTGTGCCTTCTTGGGCTAACATTCCCAGATAACATGAAGTGGAAAGACTATGTTGAATGCTAGGTTAGCTACTAAGAAAGTTGGTTTATTGTGTTGTATGAGACAATTTTTCACTCTGGAATCTATCTTACATATCTATAAGTCTACCAATCACCCATGCTTAGAATATTGCTGCCATATATGGTCCAGTGACCCTGCTATTTACCTTGAGCTCCTTGATATGATCCAAAGAAGAATCTGCAATATTATTGATCCTGATCTGGTACCTCAGTTTCAGTCACTTTCCGATTGCCATAAGGCTGCCTCTCTATGTTGTTTTTATAAATACTTTCATGGTAATTGTTCAGAGGAGCCTTTTTGCTATAGAACCTAGACTTTATGAATTTAAGCACAGTACTAGACTGATGTTCAGATCTCATTAATTTACTGTTGAGCTGGCTAGATATAGCCATCTATGCTAACAATTTCTTTGCTCACATTGATCACTTGTGGAAATCCCTTTTGGCTTTAGGCTTTCCAGGCAACTTTGATCTGCAAAAATTTAAATGCAATGTTAATCACTAGCTACTGTCCTCCTGATTACTCTTTCTTCTTCCCGCTCACCATTATTGTTTCTGTTCCTAATTCTTCCACACCCTTGAGTTTTAGTAGCTTTAGTAGTTTGCATACAAATTAAAATAAAAAAATAAAAAAGGCTGATGATGTTGCTGCTACTGCTGATGATGATATTTATATGCAAAAAGACTACTGCTGATGATATTCATAGACAAAAATCTTCTGATGATGATAATGATATTTCTATACAAAAATGTTGTTGCTGCTGCTGATGATATTCTTATGTAAAAATGCTGCTGATGATGATATTCATTGACAAAAACCTGCTGCTAAGATGATGATATTCATATGCAAAAAGTCTGTTGCTGATGGTGATGATATTCATATGCAAAAAGACTGTTGATGATGGTGATGATATTCATAGAAAAAACCTGTTGAAGATGATGATTCAGTCACAAGCATTAATTTTGCAGTTGACAAAGATCAGAAACTGTGGCTATGAAGTCATTGCAAGCAACACACAATAAAACTGTCAAAAAAATCTCACTAAACAATGATTATGGCACACGTGAAAATCACAGCATTACATGGCAAACAATTCTTATGTTTTCTTCTGCACTACTTGTTTTCCATTTTGAAGCACGTATCAAGGATATCCCTGCTGGGCAAAATTTGATTTGCAAAGATTTGTCAAATCTATTTGAACTAACTTAAATAAACACAGATTATTTTTCTAAAAATATTAAGTATATCACTTTCTATTTGTAAACTCAATGCTTCCAATCTTATAAATTTAATTAGAAAATTAAATCTCTTATCAACTGAAGTAAGAAACTAGGATTTAGGGTGTGAAATTAATATGGGGTTTTGCATGGCTTATCTGTTCATTATGAACAAATCTGTTGATTATTTACATTTGGACTAATATCCTGATCTTTGTTGTTAATGAAATATGAATGCAAGAGAGAGAACAAGACTGGAGAATCAAACACTTAAAGTATTCAGCACACGTGTTAGGCTATGACAGCCTCTTCAGTAGGCCTAGCATAGAAATAAATACCATGTGGTAGAATTTAATAAAAAAAAATGAAACAATTGCAAGTTTTCAAAAGCAGTATGAAAAGAGAAACAGTGATGACAGAGATCAAGAAGGACAGCAGCATTAAACTTCTGATTTCATATCAATTTTTAAATAGGACTGTCAAAAATGATAACTACAGTTATCTTTGATATAAGAAAAAAAAAAATAATTCAGTGTCTGAGCTTCTAACAAGAATAAATAAATTTAATTATAAATCTAAACTCCTACAATTAATACTTATGATCCCACCAAATGAAATAAAACTTCCCTAGCTAAAAAAAAAGGAAAAAGATTATGACACCCTACACATGCACACATACGTGGAAACGGGTGTGCAAACGCATATCCACAGAGATGGACACATGGCTGCACATGCTCAAATGCACACAAAAAATACAGAAAAATTACATGACTGTTAAATGTATATAAAAGAGAAAAGATAAAAAAAAATATAAGCAGTTAATTGCTGATACCCTCTGAAGTGTGGATGGACAGGTCCTCCTATGAAACTCTAGGCCGGGTGCGGAAGATAACATCAGCTAAGAGAAAAATGTTACTTTCATTATATATATATATATATATATATATATATATATATATATATATATATATAATCATTAATCATTGAGAGAACTCATTGCTGAGTATTGGTGTACTCATGGACATTTCTTTTTGTGTGAAATGAGTCATATTTTGGATCTGAAGAGACAGCTGTAGCCACCACATGGTAGGCTAGGAGGGTTCAGAGGAGAGAGAGAGTTCTGGTTTTTCTTTGGCTGCTTTTCATCTCTTCTATTTGTTTTTTGGTATTTTCGAAGGATGTTGTTTTTTTTGTGGATTCTCCAAGTAGTTCTTTCTGCATCTTCTGTCTCCCAATCGACCAGATCAATCTCTGTCATTTTTGACCTGATTCTTGAATTGATGACATGGACCTCCACATCATCTCTTACCAGATGTGATCTCCAAGAAAAAGATTTGTTTAGTTAGGCAGATGTCTAGCATTCAGGTAAGGTGTCCAACCTATCAAAGTTGGAAGAAAGTCAGTGGACTCCATACTATATAATAATTCTTCTTCTCTTCTTCCGTGCTGTGTCCCTTCAAGATATAGGCTCTCATGGTTCTCTAAGACAGCCTATCCTTTGTAGATCTTAGACAATGTTTTTATTTTTTTTACTATCACTCCCAGTTCCTATTCTGCCATCCATTTACAGAAGCTTATCAGTTAGGCTAGTTACTATGGAGGCAACAGAAATGTGGTTCTACAGAAGGATGCTGAGAATACTATGAACTGAACTAGTGAAAAATGACAAAGAATTAGAGAAAATGAAAACAAAAAGGACACTTATAGTTAGCAAAAGAAAGAGAAGGTTGAAATTTCTAGTACACATAATGAAGAAAGAAGGCTTGAAAAATTTGACACTCTGAAGGCAAGTGGAACAGAGAAAAACAGCATTAGATTATCTAACAAGTTTGTGTAAATGGCTGACAGAACACGGATTAGGAGATATAGTAAAAAGACAAAATTTACCAAGGGCTACAAAGGATAGGACATTGTGGGGAGCCATGATCGCCCACATCCTGAAGGGACAAGGCATTTAGAAGAAGAGAAACTGCCTCCCCATACTTTTTTGCTTTTAATATGCCTTGTGAGTGTCAAATTTCTAAAGCCTTCACTCCTCATTATATGTCTCAGAAATTTCAGCTGTTCCTTTCTTAGTATAAATGATCATTTTGTTTTCATTTACCTTACAATATCCTTGTAATTGTGGAATTAAAAAAATTAATTTTACGTCCCAGATTTAGAAAATAAAATAAAAAAAAATATGAAAAGTTTCAATGGTTGACACTTTGAGCAGAACAGAAAAAATATATTTCGTAAAAAGAAAGTAAGTAAATAAAATATTGAGCTTGTAATCCTAGTGAAAATCTCATTTGCATAAACTCAATATACAATGCACTCGTAGATATGTAGAAGAGAACAAAGTATATTACATCAGTTGTTGACAGAAAGAAAAGTAAAAAAAAAAACCAGAAAAACAAAGAAAATATTCTCCATATTTCATAAATGTGTCATTATCAGAAACAGATTACCTCTATCATCAAACAAACTTTTTAAACTAAAACTACATCCTCCAAAATAAAGAGGTTCATTGAACAGGAAAATAAATATAAGTCAACTTCAGTGAAAATTATCCAAGCTGTCATTCTGAAATGGGGAATATAGCCTTAAGACTGAGATGGGGTGCATCCATGCATGGACCCTACACAGGTGCAGCAGACATGCACTGTCACCACTGTCCTGACCAGTATGAAATAACTGCCAACATACTATCCCCACACATAATCACAATACAAAGGAACTAACTCTGTAGTTGTCAATATATTATTATAAAATAACAATATTCCTAAAACTGACGTCTCTTGATTTAATCAGAATTTTATCAAGTCATTCCCAAAAGAAAATAAGAAAAATTAAAAAATGAAAGCATTCTTTTACTTACATAAATAAAACAAA